TTTCAAAATTTTTCAGTATTGAATACTTATAAGTGTTGTCTTATTTACTTATAATTTGGATTTGCTTCTAGAAAAAGAAACTTTTCATAATGAAAAGTAAATAAAAGTCATCTGTAAAGTGGTTTCTATTTTCTAGAAGTTACCGAAACTATGGAACACAGATTTCAGAACTAGTAGATACAATCAAGAACTCTTTTTTAATGGATATTGAATGACAATATTTATTTTTCTCTATTCTCCATGGAGATTAAGGATAACAAAAGTAAGGGAAAGAGCTTCTCAAAATCCTTAGAACTCCTCCTGATACTCCGTATCTTTAAGAATCTCGCTGCAATTTGCAGCCAAAGTCAGTCGATATGGCTCTAAAAGAAGGAGCCAAATATCAAAACGTGTGATGGCTACACACAATAATATAGTCTTTTGGACTGTCCGGCATGTTCTTCGGTGTCTCTCGTACCTATAATTATGATCTATTTTAGGTAATAAACGTATAGGCCGATCTTGATAGAGATAGAAAGTTTTTGTCTAAAAAACTGACCGGTTATAAAGCGGTGGTTAATAACCGGTCCTTTACGAGAAAAAAATTCGTATGTCATCGACGAACCACTGTGAGAAAGTCTGCAATGTCTTATTTTGTAGAGCAAACATTTATGCACAAAACTGTCGCCTCGAAAAAATTTTAAAAGGTTTCTTCGATTTTTAAAATTACTGCCCCCAAGTGTCCCGATAAAATAACAGCTGCATGTGTAATGAAAAATGCATAGATTTTGGGTGAAAAACTGTTCCTTCACCTCGTCTTCCGTAGATTATATAACTTACATTCATTTAGATTACTTTTTATGTCACTTAGGATATGTTGCTGATTCACATTACAAAGATGTTGGCAATGACATTAAGAAATTTGGTACATCATTCAATACCGTTGTTAGTTCATTCTGTAGAAATACTCGTGGTATAAATCGTCGAAAAAATCTTCTACATGCTGCAGCAGCAGCAGCTAGTTTAAATGATATAAAACATTCATCACTACAATCTCCATCTTTAAATGCTAAAGAAAATAGGAATGATAATGTACAAACAACAAAAGATGACATTAATTTGGGATATGTACAACAAAAGACAGAAACTGATAAAGACAATAAAGAAGAGGAGAATGATGGATATAAAATATAATATAATTACAATAAGAATAATGGTAACAATAATGGTTTTAACGTTGCATGTTTGATGTGTATGTCTGTGTGTTTATGTAGGTCTTCGGGCTCTTAAAAAGAATGAGGTCACAAAAGAAAGAGAAAGATTAATTTATGTTCGAAGTTGAGTTACAGTAATCCTATTGTGTTCACTACTCAGAACATAAAAAAAGAGAATAAGAATTTGTGATTCACACTATATAGTTAGTCTTGTAGTTGAGAATCCGAATTATATGTTGCATCTAAGTCGATGAGCCGTTGCATTTCGTCGAGACTGGTAAATTCATCACCGTTGGTTTTTTTTTCTTCCTCTTCTTCATTGGAGCCTTGCCCTTCGGACGGCACTATTTGTGCTTTTAAAAACTGATACACTTGTTCAATTTCCCTGTCATCCATGGTTAAACCAATTTTCGGCCAATGGTGGGTATCGATCAGTATGTATTGTTTTCTAGAGTGACGATGAACATCACATGGCCACCAGAGACCCAGCAGAATGCCTTTACCCCACATTTTTACTTGGCCAAATTTTAAATCATTCAGTAAAAGTAAACTGCACTCTTTTATCTTATCGTATTTGATGGTTTTATTTCCAATTGGAAAATAATACTGCTGAATTATTAGTCTGTCATGATAACAAACAACATACGGATTTTTAAAAGCAGGAATTTCGTCCATCTACAAAATAGCCATCCGGTCATTCGAGTAAAAGAAGTTGAGTTTTCCTAGTGTCAGAGCTGCAGAACGGAATCTACTTTTAGTTACAAAATAATCCAACTCTGCCTGCTTGATTTTACGTTGTGTGTTCGACTTTATTTAAGTGCTCAACAGAAACTGACTAACTGCTGTAAAAAATGAACGTTTTTCGCGTCACGTGTTTATATCTTACATCTTCAGAGGGAAAAAAGACAAAAAAAGACGTTATTTTTACGTGCATTTTTCAAGGAAAAAATGTCGTCATCGGATAAATTATTCGGTACATTTTGCTTTCTTTTTTCTCATTCTTTCTTTTGCAGGTTCAGTCAGGACAATGTAATACAAAATTTGTTGAACGAAATTTTTGAATCTCTCTGGTAAACAGCAGACTATCTAGAAAATTGTTCCCCACAATAAAAAACAAATTATAACACGGCTTTACTAGTACTTTCTGTACGATGCTGACTAGCAGTCAAGGTTTAAAGAACGAACGAGATAAAAGAAAGTAAAAAATGTACCGAATAATTTATACGATGACGACATTTTTTCCTTGAAAAATGCACGTAAAAATAACATTCTTTTTTTCTTTTTTTCCTCTGAAAATATAAGGTGTAAATAAATGTGACGCGGAAAATGCTCATTTTTTACAGCAGTCAGTCAATTTCTGTTGAGCACTTAAATAAAGTCGAACACACGTTCTAAAATCGAGCAGGCAGGGTTGGATTATTTTGTAACTTAAAAGTAGATTTTTACTCGAATGATCAGATTTCCATTTTATAGATGGACGAAATTTCGGTTTCTAAAAATCAACTTATTTCTAGAACATAACTTTATTATGTTGACTGGTAATATACATATTGTACGATCAACTTATTTCTAGATTGTTTCTGAATAAAACATGGTATATTATGCGTGAATTACAAACACAAAATAGAAAAAATTGAAAAAATAGAAAAGGATATCTTAATTTCATTTTCGTTTCCACATTCTAAAAATTATGGCTTATAGCAACCAAAAGTCTACACTTTATTTAAGCAATCTTAGGTGTTAAGCTTAAGCAAAAATTTTAAGCATTTTAATCTCGTCTAGCAGGAGCGAGAGAACAATAAATAATCTGACAGATTTTGACGTTACTAGGCTTGGCGCACGTACAGAAGTTTGAATTGGTGAAAACAATGATCTTGATTTCTTCTTGAATAACGCAAATAATTTTTATTGTTGAGAAAAAAATGTCCGTGTAGGACTTAGAACTGGTGTCGTGCTATGCAGGCAGAACGAGGAGGAAAAGAAGCAAAGCACGACCATTTGGTAGTCATTATTAAAAATCTATCATGATTTTCGTAGCAGTGTTATACTCAATAATTTCTAGATTTATTTCTACTGCTCCACCTTCAAATTAATTGGCAGTCATCTTTGTTTTTCTGTTGAACTTGCAGTCCTCAAAGTTATTTTTAGTCAATATTGAAATTAGTTTTCAGCAGCAGCAGTTATCGACAACTAGCTTCGTACGAAGCTAAAAACCCTGTAAACTGGATTTTGCTCTTCATTGGAAAAAGCATCTTGAAAAGAGAAAGTCTCCTTTAATGCCTAGAACAGCCAGATCATTTAACGGTATTCTTTTCTCATTGAATTTCTTACAGATGTTTTGATGAGTTCTAGTTTAGCAAATGTTCTTTCACATTTGGCAGACGAAATTGGAAGTGAGATGAGGGTGAGTTGAAGTTATAAAATGAATGAGGTCGCAAAAGAAAGAGAAAGAGACAGATTAATTCATGTTCGAAGTTGAACTACAGTAATCGTATTGTGTTTCACCAGTCAGAAACCTGCGTCTAAGTCCACCATTGACGTTATTGACTGACGCTTCGTTAGAACCATACACAACAACTCCTTTTGATGATTTACATCCATCGAGATTCACAAAATAAATAAATAAATAAATAAATAAAATCTTTACTGCAATTGCGGCTGAAAATACCCTCTGTGTTCTAGTAATTTTTGCTATTTATTTTTAATAAACTATTAATCATGTTAAACCAACTTAACAGTATTTCAGCCGCAATTGCACTCATGTTTTTATTTCTATTGTTGCCATTTGATAATAATAATGTTATCGAAATTAATATATCCACCGTACTCAATCATCGTACTCAACGATCAATTCTAAAGCGTATCATAATGATCCACTCAGTGCCCATTTCTCAACAGATTTAACATATCGTAAATTAAAATACAAAGGACCCCGCTGGTATTTAGTGAAAATTCACCTAACTCAAAATGAGATTAAGAGTATATGGTTAGATGCGGAATGAAAGGCTGTATAGATTAGTGTTTTCCATTTAGTTAGAAACCACTTTGTTGGAAAACGATGAATTTTTAAAGTTGTTCAGTTTTGCTGGAAAACAGGTACCTTCGCGAGTACAGTCCATCTCTTGTACATAAATAATTGGA